TGTTTCTTTATACATTTAGGCTAAAATGTAGTCTGCTATATTTTCTTGGTAAAAATAACCCAAATTAGTGTATATTATTTATTCTGTGTGAAAGTTATAGAGCTTACAAACTATGGTATATATATATATCTATATATAGATAGATAGATATATATATATATACAGTATTTGAAAATTGATGCACTGACTGTCTTATTTCTTGAGGCCCTAAAAAGCCAGGACTGTACAAATACTCTCCAAATTACCCCTTTTTGGAAAGTAAACAATCCAAGATATTTAGTAAGAGTCATGGCAAGTTTTTTGAAGTTGTAATTTTTTTTGTCAAAATTTCAGAAAATTAAGTAATTAAATCAATTTAGTTTTTTTCACAAATTTTTTTTTTTTACATACTGTCACCAGTGCAGTACAGCGTCATCATATGACTGGTGTGGGAGTGATCAGGGATACTGACTGATGACAGTATGTAAAAAATAAATAAATAATAAATAAAACTTATTAATGTACATTAATGTAAATATTATTATAAAATTAATATAAATAATATTAATAAAATATATTTTTTTTTACTCATGTTTTCTTTTTTTCACATTTTTTTTTTACATTGTCATTAGAGCAGTTCAGTGTCACCATAGTTTTACACTGTGATTGCTTGTTATACTATCATCACTGTAGCAGCAATCATTTGAACTGTCATGAAAGGCTTTCATTCATGACTAATTGTTTACCATTATGATGCTGTGATTGACCACAGCTATCACATGGTACAGGGGCCTGTGGTTGGCCCAGGTATTATGTGATCACCGTTGACCAATCACAGATGACACACAGTAGCAAACAATGATGGCAGTAATGGATTTGCATGAGCACATGAGTGGGTCAACTTACTGGTATGTGGTGCGTGCTCAAGCCTCTGGCCAGCAGTAAAATTACTGCTGGTTGGTTGGCAAGTGGTCAAAAAAAAGTATGGCGTGGTATGCTGTGAAGAAGGCTTCTTAGGCTGAAACGCATTGCATTTTATATTTTTATCTATATATACCTGAATATTTTGGTAACCAATAAAAATATTCATAAGAAGTCAGCGAATCGCCGGCTATTACCCTTGGAGTTACTAGTTCTGAGTGGACACTTGAGCACTGAACTCCTGTCCTGCAAATAGCAGTAGAGCTTGGGTAAGCTTTGTTCCATGGTCAAAAAAAAGCCTTTTAGTGGCCCTTTTAGTAACAATTAGGAAAAGTGAAAAATGCATGCAGCCTGTTATCACTGTAGTGCATGTTTGCAGGGACAGGCTATAAAAAGTCTGCAGGACATTAGCAGCATTAGGATGTAACAAAAGATGAAAAAAGGTCAAAATCCTTACTTCCCCCTAACTCCAAATTCTTCAAAATACACAACATTTTGGTCCCTGCAGGATATTTGCTAAGGGATTACATATACTTTAAGAGACCAGCCAGAGACTATCGGCTCCACACTTATCTATCCCTCCTGCACTTTACCATTATCAGCAGTACTTCCCATATGGAAGAAAAATATATTTGAAATACTACAATTTTGGTCATATTCAATATATTTCAATAAATATAAATATATATACACACACACACATATAGTGTATGTTGAAATGCGTTTCTATTACAAAATATATGAAAAATATTTTTACAAATGTATTTCAAATATACTGTGTCTTTAAAATACAAATCTACATTTTTGGAATGCATTTACAAATATACGTAAAAATATATGTTCAAATGACTTTTTTATATGTAAAAAAGTCCGGGGTATCTGCTCTCCGGGGAGAGCAGATATAGTGAATGCAGGGTCCGGGGAGACCAGATATAATGAATGCAGGGTCCGGGGAGACCGGATATAGTGAATGCAGGGTCTGGGGAGACTGAATATAATTAATGCAGGGTCCGGGAGACCGGATATAGTGAATGCAGGGTCCGGGGAGAGCAGATATAGTGAATGCAGGGTCTGGGATGACCAGATATAGTGAATGCAGGGTCCGAGGAGACTAGATATAGTGAATGCAGGGTCCAGGGAGACCGGATATAGTGAAGGCAGGGTCCGGGGAGAGCGGATATAGTGAATGCAGGGTCCGGGGAGACCGGATATAGTGAATGCAGGGTCCGGGGAGAGCGGATATAGTGAATGCAGGGTCTGGGGAGAGCAGATATAGTGAATGCAGGGTCCGGGGAGACCGGATTTAGTGAATGCAGAGTCCGGGGAGACCAGGTATAGTGAATGCAGGATCCGGGGAGAGCGGATATAGTGAATGCAGGGTCCGGGGAGAGCGGATATAGTGAATGCAGGGTCTGGGGAGACCGGATATAGTGAAGGCAGGGTCCGGGGAGAGCGGATATAGTGAATGCAGGGTCCGGGGAGACCGGATATAGTGAATGCAGGGTCCGGGGAGAGCGGATATAGTGAATGCAGGGTCTGGGGAGAGCAGATATAGTGAATGCAGGGTCCGGGGAGACCGGATTTAGTGAATGCAGAGTCCGGGGAGACCAGGTATAGTGAATGCAGGGTCCGGGGAGAGCGGATATAGTGAATGCAGGGTCCGGGGAGAGCGGATATAGTGAATGCAGGGTCTGGGGAGACCGGATATAGTGAATGTAGGGTCCGGGGAGACCAGATATAGTGAATGCAGGGTCCGGGGAGACCGGATATAGGGAATGCAGGGTCCGGGGAGACCAGATATAGTGAATGCAGGGTCCGGGGGGAGACCGGATATAGGGAATGCAGGGTCCGGGGAGACCGGATATAGGGAATTCAGGGTCCTGGAAACCGGATATAGTGAATGCAGGGTCCGGGAGACCAGATATAGCGAATGCGGGGTCCGGGGAGACCAGATATAGCGAATGCAGGGTCCGGGATTTAGTAACACTTTAGGTTTAGCATACTATTAATTGATAATGTGGGTTTGTTAAACATTTGCACCATTATCATGTGACATAAAATTTACAACTACCACCATTTTATTCTCCAGGGTCTGCGCTGTCAGAAAACTTATAATACTTGGGGGGGGGGGGGGTTAACTAATCTTCAGGCCTAAAATGTAAATTTTAACATACATGCAAAAAATGGCAACATAGCCGTGGCAGCAGAATGGTAAAGGCAATTTCAGGGCTAATTTAGATCAACATTTGCTGCACTAAGCTGGGAAATGTTAACAGTAATTCTGTTTATTAGCTAAATGGAGTAAATTCTGAATGACAGTAATGTAGGGATTACCATAAAACATTATTTGATTTGAAAACAGGGAGCTAATCTAAACATATCCCATTGGGTTGACAAGATAAAAAACAGTATAATTCAAGATCCCCATAGGTATTCTTGTTTTTATTGAGCGGTAACATCACAGCAGTCCACACAGTATAAAATGCCTTCCCTCCTTAACAGGCAGTAATTTCCAGTATATTTTAAGGCAAGTTACATTCCATTTATTTACTGTTTAGCAAACACTGTGCAAGTTTATTTTGCTTATTGAATGCCAAGAGTTGCCAGACATATACAGTAGTATTAGTGGTGATGTTTTAGGGCCATTTATAAGTATTATACAAAAATTATTTAAAAAATCAGCCATCGTTCGCTTTGAAATTTGATGTACACAGGAATACCCATATGGAAGAAAATATATTTGAAATATATTTTAGAAATATTCTTCCCAAATATATTGACATATATTTGAAATACTACAATTTTGGCCATATTCAATATACCGTATTTTTCGCTCCATAAGACGCACTTTTTTCCCCCCAAAAAAGGGGGGAAAATGTCAGTTCGTCTTATGGAGCGAATATGGAGCTGCCGGTCCGGTATTTCCACCGCCGCCGTGTCAGAATACCGGGCCGGCCGCTCAGCTCTGCAGTGGGACCTTACCTGTTCCTCTATCCAGAGGCGCGCTGTCTTCCCGGCTTCTGTAGTGTGCGTGACAGCCGGGTCCCAAGTGCGCATGCGCAAGAAGCGGTGCTCTTTGTGAATGGTAAGGCGGTACCTGGGACACATGACAGATCCCAGAAGCCGCCGGACCAATCACAAAGCACAGTGCTTCTCGCGCATGCGCACTGGGCATCCGGCTGTCCGCCGAGGGCCCACACTACAGAAGCCGGGTAGACAGCTCGCCTCTGGATAGAGGAATAGGTAAGATCAAAGAACAACTCCGCGGAAGTAAGAGCGGGTACCTGTCAAATTCAGGTACCCGCTCCCCCCCCCCCCCCAAAGGTCAGCAGTCATCTTCTGTACTGTCTGCAGTCTCTGGTCATCTCCTGTACTGTGTCCGCAGTCTCTGGTCATCTCCTGTACTGTGTCCGCAGTCTCTGCTCATCTCCTGTACTATGTCTGCAGTCCATTAGTTCAGAATTTTCTGCCTCTAAAACCTAGGTGCGTCTTATGGAGCGAAAAATACGGTATTTCAAAATATACTTAATATATATATATATATATACACAGTATATATATATATATATATACTGCATGTTGAAATGCATTTCTTATATGTTACAAAATATATGAAACATATTTTTCTGAATATATTTTTTAAATATATTCTTCAGATTTTTTTTAACATATAAAAAAGTAATTTTAACCTATATTTTTACATATATTTGTAAATGCATTCCATAAATGTAGATTTGTATTTTAAAGACATACAGTATATTATAAATGTATTTTTAAAAATATTTTTCAAATATTTTGTAATAAAAATGCATTTCAGCATGCAGTAGTATATATATATATATATATATATATATATTTATTGAAATATGATTTTAAATATATTGAATATGGCCAAAACTGTAGCATTTCAAATATATGTCAATATATTTGGGAAGAATATTTTCAATATATATATATATTATAAATATATATAATAAATATATTTCAAATATATTTTTCTTCCATGTGGGTATGGCCGGCTTTGGCTTATGGTATTCTATAATTTTTGGGTTACAAGAACTAAAACTAACACACACCTTTTATTTTGCTTGTAGGCTGAAATGGTGAACGGCACATTCCACAATGACTTCCAAATTGTGCCATTTTTCTACAAAACTGGCAATAGATCATTGGCGCTTAGCATTTTTTTCATTATATATTTAATTGGTTTGCTAATGAATTTCCTCCTCTTGACTGTGATATACATTAATGATCACTTGCACACCCCTTTGTATATTTTTCTCTGCAATCTGTCCTTTGTAGATATATGTTCCACCACAGCCACTGTCCCTAAACTGCTGGTCATGCTCCTTTCTGGAAACAACACAATCTCCTTCATGCAATGCTTCTCTCAGACATACTTTTTTCTGCTGGCTGCCAGTGCAGAGGATATATTATTATTCGTCATGGCGTATGACCGTTATGTTGCGATATGTAACCCTTTACACTATCACCATCTGTTAAGGAAGAAAATTTGTATCTTCTTTATATTCGCGATTTGGCTATCGGCATCATTCAATTCCTTGGTAATGACTGTCCCGGTATCGATGATGTCCTTCTGCCAGTCTAACGTAATCAAACATTTCTTTTGTGAGGCTAAATCTCTCACAAACCTTTCATGTGCTGGCAGAGAAGTGTTTTACTACATTGTTTATATGGAATTAGTGCTATTTGGTCTTTTTTCCCTTTTTGTGTAGCTTGACATCATACATCAAAATCCTCAATGTCATCTTACAGATCAAATCAAGAGATGGGAAGAAGAAAGCGTTCTCCACCTGCTCATCCCACCTAGCTGTCATCATGCTCTACTATGTAACTGGTGCCTCCATGTATGTAATTCCACCCACAAAATATTCAGATATCATAGAACAGATCTCCACGGTGCTCTGCACGGCTATTACTCCAATGTTAAACCCTCTGATATACAGCCTACGCAATAAAGATGTGAAGACAGCTTTGCGGAATTTAGCAGTGGTGCATTTAAAATTGAAATCAAACAAGTTTAACGTTTAAAAAAATTAACAAAACTGTTTTATCTTTGAATTCTCCTAATGTTTATGCCAGGGTTTCTCAACCAGGGTTCCATGGAACTCTAAGGTTCCTCCAGAGATTGCTGGGGGCTCCTTGAGCAACGAGCAATTTCTGCCTCTCAGATACGTTCCCACTGACACCAATGAGCTTCTTAGCTATCTGTAAGGGGTACATTCTTCCCAATGACCACAAGTGTAAGGAGCATTCATCCCACTGACCATCACACCGACGTATCATGAGTTGTAACAGTAATTTTTAGCAAGGGTTCCTTGAGACCCCAAAGTTATTTAAAGGGTTCCTCCATATTGAAAAGGTTGAACAAAGGCTGGTTTATACAGTTTTAACCTAAGGTATTATAATTTTTGGACAATATATAACACATCCTCTTTATTTTACAATAATAAATGTAATATATAGAAGTTGATTCTCTGATCACTATGGGTTGTGTTTTTTACACAGAAGTGGCTGTGTCTTTTCAGGCAAGGTAACCAACACTGAAACCTTAGATGGTGTTATACTCAGGGAGAGGGGAGGAGGAGGATTCTTGCTCTTACCTATTCACTTATGTGTGTTTTTCAGCCTGAGCTACTGAGTTCTGTAAATAACAGGCTGCAGGAGGTAAGGGGGAACTGGAAAATATGAAAAGCTGTCTTAAAGTGTTACTAAACCCCAGACTCTGCATTCACTATATCTGGTCTCCCCAGACCCTGCATTCACTATATCTGGTCTCCCCGGACCCCGCATTCACTATATCTGGTCTCCCAGTCCCTGCATTCACTATATCTGGTCTCCTTGGACCCTGCATTCACTATATCTGGTCTCCTCGGACCCTGCATTCACTATATCCGCTCTCCCCGGACCCTGCATTCACTATATCTGGTCTCCCCAGACCCTGCATTCACTATATTTGGTCTCCCAGGACCCTGCATTCACTATATCTGGTCTCCTCGGACCCTACATTCACTATATCTGTCTCCCCGGACCCTTCATTCACTATATCTGGTCTCCCAGGCCCTGCATTCACTATATCTGGTCTCCTTGGACCCTGCATTCACTATATCCGGTCTACCCAGACTGTGCATTCACTATATCCGTTATCAAGGACCCTGCATTCACTATATCTGGTCTCCCCGGACCCTGCATTCACTATATCTGGTCTCCTTGGACCCTGCATTCACTATATCTGTCTCCCCGGACCCTTCATTCACTATATCCGCTCTCCCCGGACCCTGCATTCACTATGTCTGGTCTCCCAGGACCCTGCATTCACTATATCCTCTCTCCCCGGACCCTGCATTCACTATATCTGGTCTCCCCGGACCCTGCATTCACTATATCTGGTCTCGCCGGACCCTGCATTCACTATATTCGCTCACCCTGGACCCTGCATTCACTATATCCAGTCTCCCCGGACCCTGCATTCACTATATCCGCTCTCCCCGGACCCTGCATTCACTATATCCAGTCTCCCCGGACCCTGCATTCACTATATCTTGTCTCCACGGACCCCGCATTCACTATATCTGATCTCCCTGGACCCTGCATTCACTATATCCAGTCTCTCTGGACCCTTCATTCGTTATATCCGGTCTCCCCGGACCCTGTATTCACTATATCTGGTCTCCCACAGTACATAGAGCATGGAAGTGCAATTATATTAGTGAATATTAACTGCTAAATACCTTTTTCTCATCAGCAGTAGTTAGAGCAGTCTTGTGACTTCTATCAGTGTCCAGCCCAAAACTAGCTAAAGCTTGTAGGAGGAGTTTTCATTCTGCTTTAGGAGGATGCAGAACCCCTGACCTCTGTTTGATAGTGCTGATTGACCCTGTGCTGATCACATGCACTCTGCCAAGGAAAAAAAAAAAACTCTCTAGCAATACACACCAAAACAAGCATGTGCATGCCTATGGCTCAGTCTGGAGATTGGTTGTCACTTGAAAAAGGGTTCCTCCATATTGAAAATGTTGACAAAGGATCAGAGAAGACAGGATCAAACAACCTTTTTACACCATGCAGAGGATTAACCCCTTAGGTTCTACAGTGAGTATAACAAGCATGCTGTGGGCTTAGTAACACTTTAAGCGCCTGGAGCCAGCATGTCTGGCTTTTTCCAGCTGCAGGACATCATGCTGTCTGTAACACTTTAAACTCCACTTATGGTTGAAAATGCATATTATTATTTGCAGTATTTCTTATTTCCTGACAAAATAAAAAGTATTATTATTTTAGTCCAGCCATAACAACAGTAGTATTCTCTACCCTGTTAGTCATTGAATAATGCCGAAACGTTGAAATTTAAGTAATACATTTATTGGCTAATTTAAATGACTAAAAATTCAAATTTTGGGATTTCTTAGGTGCCTTCACGAGGTTTATAAATCCTGTCCAAAGGATCTTATCAATCCCAAAGTCTTTATCAACTTTAACCCCTTGGCGCTGGCGCCTACCGGCCCTTTAAGGGTTCCAGAAGCCAGGAGGCAGGGCGGGGTTTTAGGGACCTGTCACGGCGGTCACATGATCGGGAAATGTCCTGATCGAAAGAGGAGATTGGGACCCTTCCGTGAGTACCGAACGTGTGTGCTGGGAGCATGCAGGGCGCGCGCTCTAAGCACATATATATTTTTTAATAAAACGCAAATGTGCGGCCGCTCGGCATCTAGGCCCAGACGCCGGAAGGCCACACTTTTGCGTTTGGCCGGCAGCAAGAGGTTAATTAGCTAATAAAGGATATTACTTAAAATTCAAGGTTTATGCAGTCCAGTCATAATAAATAATACATTAAAAATATTTACAGAACCATCATACAGTCACTTTACGCCAGGGGTGTCAATCTGGCGGCCCTCCAGCTGTTGCGAAACTACAAGTCCCATCATGCCTCCGCCTTTGGGAGTCATGCTTGTAACTGTCAATCTTGCAATGCCTCATGGGAGTTGTAGTTTGGCAACAGCTGGAGGGCCGCCAGTTTGACACCCGTGCTTTAAGCTATCTAACAACGAATGTTATGTGAAAAATACTCTCTAGGCAGAACAATGTGTAATGCATTGAACAATGGAATTTTCTAAAAGAACAAAATTCTATACATACACTTTTGTCTGTCTTGCCAACGAGGCCTGTTTTTTAAAAAGTGCTTTTGATTATTTTGTATTAGTTTGCATATTGTGTAACAGAGTCTTTGTAAAACGGTGTCTTGGCATAATCTAATAGGAATGTGTGCCAATCATCTTTTTTAAAATAAATTGTAAATGTATCTGTTTGATATCACATAATATATTTTAATGTATGAATGGTACCCTTGGTTTGTGCTCTATTGACATAGGTCGCTCTTATTGGAAAGTCTGCATTTTTGTTTTCTAACTGCTAAGCCTTTTCAAGTCCAGTTTTGGTGTCCCACAAAAAAGAAATAATTCAGAATAAATATTTTATTTACGTGCATTTTAACCGCTTCCCCACCACCCTATAGCAAAAGTACAGGGCTGCACAAAATCATGTATTTATGACGCCCTACCAGCACCGTTATTGGTGGCTACAGATGTCAATCACCGGGATCGCTGGAGATTCCTCGCCGGCAACTGGCAATCGCCGAGGAACAGTGACAGGGGAGAAACCTGTGTGTAGACAACACAGGTCTCTCTCCAGCCAGTAGTAACATGCTGCTGTGTATTTCTCTTCACAGCAGAGAAATACACAGCAGCATGTTTCCCTAATAAAACACACACAGCACACAGTTAACCCTTTCAGAGGTCAGGGCAGGTAGCGGTCAAGCAGAGGTCAGGAACAAGCTGGTTCAGTATCAGGAGTCAATCACAGGAATCAGGGAACACAAGCAGGGATAAGACCAAACAGCAATGAGACATTTACTGCAGCCAGTTTAAATTGGCGCCAGCATTAGTGACAGGCGCTTGTCTAGATGCGTAAGTGCGCATGCGCTTGCGCCTATGTCCAAGCACCCGCACATCTGCCTGGTTCACTGTAACTCTGCGCATGCACATATTTGTACGCCGTGGATCTTCGCCTGCACTATGCGCAGGCCTTTCCTGACACCCTGTCATGTGCCCACTCCCTGCCTTTCAATAAAAGCCTTGTGTGTACTTCTGCTCTCCGCGTGTGTTCTGTTCCACCCGCACCCCCAACCATATTGCTGGAAGTGAGAGGAACTGCCTGCAAAGTAAGGGAATCAATTGCCCCCCCCCCAGGCCCCAGGTCACCAGAACTCGTGACCCCATTGGAAGATAAACCTTCTATTACTTTCCTGGGGACAACCCAAAATTTGGGATTTTCTTTTCCTTTCACTTTCATGCTAATGGTACACTGGACAAATAGAGAGGGTGAATCTCCCTAACTTGGGCATAGACAGCAACAAAACCTAACAGGTGTTCTAATCCCTCTGCACCCTATCCAAAATCAAAAAAAGTTTTCCCTTTAGTTATACTTTAATAGTACTGCATTGTATAGTGGTATATTTAGCACAGATTAGCAGCACTCTAAAACAGCAGCTATCTTAGGGCAGCACAGTGGGTAATGGTTAGCACTCCTGCCTGGCAGTACTAGGGTCGTTGGTTCAAATCCCAGCCACAGTACCACCTGCCTGGAGTTTGCATGTTCTCCCTGTGCCTGCGTGGGTTTCCTCCGGGTCCTCTGGTTTCCTTCCACACTCCAAAGACATGCTGGGAGGTGAATTGGATCCTGTATAAATTGACTCTAGTATATGAATGTGAGTTAGGGATCTTAGATTGTACGCTCCTTGAGGGTTAGGGACTGGATGTACAATATATATGTAAAGTGCTGCATAAATTGACAGAACTGTATAAGTACCTGAAATAAATAAATCTTTCTCTGCAATCAAAATGTCCCTATCTACTGGAAGTCTCCACACATTCTAACAAAATGCTGCTGGGAACCTTGACTTTAGAGGGAGAGGGCTGCCACATAATAAAACACTCATTATTGGCCCCTCTAACCCTCCACCTGAACACAGATCAAAGGCAAAATTTGGAAGATTGTTGATTTGTTGCTATGGTGGCGAATTATCAGATTAGTTTCACGGCACCAAATGGTGGATGTGGACAAATTGGGCAGTGGGATGGTCTTAAAGGGGTACAGTCAAAGAAGATCTACTGAGAACTGATGGATTCAGTGAGCAAATGGCAATGCTTCTAATATGTAAAACACATAATTCAGAAACGCAAAAAAAAAAAATGTTTTTAGAGATACACAAGCGCAGTCAAAATGGAAAACCTGATTCCTGTCAGCGGGTGTGTGCTGTGTACAAATGCAAATAAAACTGTAAATGTAAAGAACAAAGTCTTTTTCCAATAAGTGTCCAGAAATGATCTTCAAAGGGGCAGAATTTGGATATAACATGACAAGTCACTAAATGCCTCCACAAGATGACTTCTCTAGAAGCTCCTGAAGAAGTCACCTTTTGGTTGCGATACACACAAAATCTTTTACTTTTTGTTCTTTTAGTAGCCTAATGCATTTCTCATGTCAATGCTAACCTTATTACATCAAGTCCACATTGAATACAACAAAAATATATAACAATAATACGACTCAGGGGACTACTCCTGTAATTAGGCATTTTAGAACATATTCATTATTCCCTGATGATGTTTCATGTCTTAACAGTGTACAAGATCTAATATAAATCACCCATATTCCTTCTTTGTTTCTGTGTCTGCACTGATAAAAACAGTGATTTTCTGAACCAGTTTCCAAAAGGTATGCGTGAAGCAACTATATTTATTACATTTGACATTTTCCGATTGGGACCAAGGAAAGTGATGGTGGAGTGGTGGAAATGCCCTATAACAGTTACCTAGCGAAACAATAAAAGAAATACAGAATACGTTTTTTAAATGTAACTATATTTGTAATATAAAATTCGGTAAGTTAGAAACTGGCATTCTGCATTAATGCTCTTAAAATTTCATTGATGAAATGGCCTGATGCTTGATACAAAAGTATTATAATTGTGTCATTTAACATGCTTAGAGGAACACTCCGGTCAAGATGATATAATTAAAGCTAGAAATGCATACAGAACACGGCATCCCTGTTCATTATTACTGTTATCATTATTTATTTATTTACCATTATTATCTCACCCACAATTGTACAAAATAATAGATATAGCAAGAAAGTGTAATATAGCTGTAAAATACACAAAATATTTTCAGGGATTATCCTTATAATATTATCAAGAATTCTCCTGACCCCAAAAATTTTAGGTCACAAAGGAACACACACAAAGGTTGAACTAGAAGGATTTTTTCAAATATATTCTTCAGATTTTTTTTTAACAAAAAAGTAATTTTAACATATATTTTTACATATATTTGTAAATGCATTCCAAAAAGTTCGATTTTTATTTTTACAGACATACAGTATATTTGAAATGTATTTTTAAAAGTATTTTTCATATATTTTTTAATAATAACACACTTTAACATGCAATATATATATATATATATATATATATATATATATATATGTAAATATATTTTGAAATATATTGAATATGGCCAAAATATATGGCAATATATTTGGGGAGAATATTTTTTAAATATATTTCAAATATATTTTTTCTTCCATGTGGGGCGCTGCTCTGCAAACCAGTGTGTTACACTCAACCCATTGGAGTTTGGTCATATCTAAGACATATATTAGTCTCTATGACTAAGACCCAATAGGCGGGGTAAAACACATCAACGGCTTTGGTTTTAGGAGCAGCACTGATTGAGGCAGCCATACATGGATTTGCGAGTTTGGGGTGGAGGAACTTGACTGGCCTGCACAGAGTCCTGACCTCAACCCCATAGAACACCTTTGGGATGAATTAGAGCCGAGACTGTGAGCCAGGCCTCCTCCCCCGACATCAGTGCCTGACCTGACAAATGTGCTTCTGGAAGAATGGTCCAACCTTCCCATAGACACCCTCCTAAACCTTGTGGACGGCCTTCCCAGAAGAGTTGAAGCTGTTATAGCTGCAAAGGGCGGGGCCAACTCAATATTGAACCCTACGGACTAAGACTGGGACACCATTAAAGTTCATGTGCGTGGAAAGGTAGGTGTCCTAATACTTTTGGCAATATAGTGTACCTCTTTTAAATGAAACATAACTTTCACTTTTCCTTTAAAACGTTCACAAACTACGTTAATGGAATGTATATTTAACACGATTCACGATCCTATGCCTCACATTTCTGATACATGGGAGGTTTGGGAATATAAATCAGTGTTAATTTCATCAACAAAAACATTTCCATCATAGTTTTTGTCAGCTGCACGTTTTCAGTGATGAAAACAAACAAAAAAAAAATTTAGTTTAAACTCAAATGACTAAAACTGAATTGAAATTTGATGTAGAAATTGACAGTGGTCAAAAATAAATATTCTTGTTTGTTTACGAAAATTGATTTTATTTATAAAGATGTTACGGGATACTTCTGTTAGTTATTAACAGAGAACTGCTAAAGTTTTTATATTCAGGTAATATGTGCAATGGCATTACAGCCAATAGAGTTTACAGTTTTTTGGGGGTTTTTTTTTAAAGTTGCACTTCTATTTGTCAAAAAGCATTATTTTTGTTTGTTTATGATACTGGAGAGTTTAGTCCTCGAAAATATGACTATAACTAAAACAATTCAGAAACCTAAAATACAACTAAAACTAAAATGGCATTTTAGTCAAAAGACTATGACTAATACAAAATCGAAATTTGACTTCAAAATTGACACTGATCTAAACATGAACTATTTTCCAGAAAATTGTTTTATTTTTCTTCTTTTTTTTTTATGGGGATTTCCAGTTTTCAACTACCACATGGGTGTTAGAAATCTCCGTCAAGGTCTTTATTACCTGCCTTTTGTTTGAACTGATTTTTCTGTATGACATTATGAGATGCTTTATCTCTATTTCATGATTCTTACATATTTTTGTTGTCTCATATCTGGACTGTCATTTATACAATTCGTTTCCAACTTTTGTATATTACCTTCAATAAACAGTTTGTATGCAAAAAAAAAAAAAAGTTCACAAACTTTTATTTTCTTTCTTTATTTTGGCTTTCTTAAATGTGGCATTGACTGCCTAAACCAGGGGTGGGCAAACTTTTTGACTTGAGGGCCGCAATGGGTTCATATATTGGACCCGGGGGCCGGACCAAGAGTAGATAGTAATTCATCCCCCATAGTAATTCATCCCCCATATAGTAATTCATCCCCCATAGTAATTCATCCCCCATAGTAATTAATCCCCCATATAGTAATTCATCCCCCATAGTAATTCATCCCCATCTATAGTAATTCATCCCCCCTATAGTAATTCATTCCCCATATTAATTCATCCCCCATATTAATTCATCCCTCATATAGTATTTCATCCCCCACAGTACTATTCCCCCCCAAGTAGTAAGCCAAGTCCCCCCTGTGTCAATTCACTTACCTTTGCTCCGCACGTTCCTCTCGCCGTGTTCCCGCGCCGTTCCGGTCTTCAGGGCGGACTGTGAGAGGAGCCTAGCTCCCTTCACGTTCGTCACGCTGCCCCGCCTACACACATCCTGACAGCCAATGTTTGCCTGCCCTGGCTGTGTTTTTTTTTATCACGCTCCGCGGGCCGGATTAAAAGGTCCGCCGGGCCGTAGTTTGCCCATTGCTGGCCTAAACGTTTGCTAATTCTAAATGACAATTCCCTCAATATCTTACAGTCTGATGAAAATGTTCAAAGTGAGACTTGTCCTTTAAATCTTAGCTTCACCAAAATAATTTTTTTTGTATTTTCCAGGATTTCAAAAAACAAACATGGATAACTTTACAGCATTTAAAGAATTTCAAATTTTACTCTTTCTCCAGCATAGCTGGCAGCAAATCTTTTATACTTAGTGTATTTGCTTTAATATACCTGATAGGAGTTCTGCTGAATCTCACAATACTGACCGTGATATGCATGGATGTTCATTTACACACCCCCATGTATTTGTTTTTGTCTAACTTATCCTTGGTAGACATTTGCTATATAACAGTCACTATTCCAAAACTGATGGACATGTTGGTATCTGGACACAACAAAGTGTCATTCTCGCAGTGCTTCATACAAATCTTCCTTTTATTCACGGTAGCTACCACTGAAGATATGCTGTTGATGATAATGGCGTATGACCGCTATGTTGCGATTTGTAATCCTTTGCGCTATCACCACCTCCTTAGTAAGAGAATGTGCTTTCTCTTCACAAATCTGGCATGGTTTTGTGGAAGTTTAAATTCATCTCAGCTTACCATATCTACATCCAAAATGTATTTCTACCATTCTAACACCATTCATAGTTTTTACTGTGATATCAAGGCCCTGATGAACATTGCAAGTGGCGGCAGAGAAATACTTCACAGTATCATTTATTTAAGCATAGCTTTATTTGGAATTTTACCATTTATGTGCATTTTGACATCTTACACAAAAATTTTAAAGGTGATATTGAGTGTTAAGTCTTTGGACGGCAGAAGAAAAGCATTTTCCACATGTTCCTCTCACCTTACTGCCATTGTAATTTTCTACTGTACGGGAACAACTGTATACATGATACCAGCATCAGAAAAATACAATGTCCTGGAACAGATCTTCACTGTCCTGTATACAACAATCATACCTTTGCTGAACCCTTTAATATACAGCTTGAAGAATCAAGATGTAAAGGGGGCAATGATGAGGCTACTTGGGGTTAATGCTCCACAATGAATGTATCCAAACGTTAAAGCAGATCTAAACCCAACCACTAAAATCATACGTGTTGTGCCTAGTACACACTATTAGAAAATCGAACAAACGATCATCCGATTTTCCACAAAGTGTGTATCCAGGGGTGGACTGACCATTTGGGAACTCGGGCACTGCCCGAGGGCCCTGGGTCAATAGGGGACCCCATGAGATGCCCCTGGCACCTTTCATAGGCTTGTTTGGGTGTGGTTTGAGTGTGGGCGAGGACACAGGGGCCTCATGATCCCCTATTGCCCAGGGCCCTATGAGTTGTCAGTCCACCCCTGTGTGTATCATGAAGTAACTGAGAATGGTACTAACTTGTATGAACATTCTCAACCGACAAAGGCAAACATAGCCATGTACTAGAAGAGGAAAATGTAGGGTCGTTCTTTGCTCCTGATCTTCCAAGTTTTTTTCTGTTCAGTTATTTCAGTCCAATTTGTTATTATTTTTCAGTAGAATTATTTTATTTGTTTTTGTATTTTATTTATTTCAGGTACTTAAATAGCGTCGTCAATTTATGCAGCACTTTACATAAAATATTATACATTCACATCAGTCCCTAACCCTCAAGGAGAGTACAATCTAAGGTCCCTAACTCACATTCATACATACACATACTAGGGACAATTTAGACAGGATCCAATTATCCTACCAGCATGTCTTTGGAGTGTGGGAGGAAACCAGAGTTCCCAGAGGAAACCCATGCAGGCACAGGGAGAACATGCAAAGTCCAGATAGGTGGGGCCTGGAATTCGGAACTGACGACCCTAGTACTGCCAGGTGGAAGTGCTAACCATTTAGCCACTGTGCTACACTGTGATTACTTTACACATTGAACTAAAATTGGACATTGTGCTCGCGCATGATAAAAATTTTGTAGCTTGCACCTTCAGGTTTTTTTGTTTGAACAGTTAGAATTGACTGTTGAAAGCAGTATACTAACAAACAGATAATTGACTGATCATTCCATCGTTGTGATTCTGCCATGAAGGTCCTTGTTCAGGCACTTAAAGTGTTATTAAACCCAGGACTCTGCATTCACTATATCCGCTCTCCCCGGACCCCACATTCACTATATCCGGTCTCCCCGGACCCTGCATTCACTATATCTGGTCTTCCCGGACCCTGCATTCACTATATCTGGTCTCCCCGGACCCTGCATTCACTATATCTCGTCTCCCCGGACCCTGCATTCATTATATCTGGTCTCCCAAGACCCTGCATTCACTATATCTGGTCTCCCCGGACCCTGCATTCATTATATCTGGTCTCCCAAGACCCTGCATTCACTATATCTGGTCTCCCAAGACCCTGCATTCACTATATCTGCTCTCCCAGGACCCTGCATTCACTATATCTGGTCTCCCAAGACCCTGCATTCACTATATCTGGTCTCCCCGGACCCTGCATTCACTGTATCCGGTCTCCCCGGACCCTGCATTCACTGTATCCGGTCTCCCTGGACCCTGCATTCACTATATCTGGTCTCCCCAGACCCTGCATTCACTGTATCCGGTCTCCCTGGACCCTGCATTCACTATATCCGCTCTCCCCCGGTCCCTGCATTCAGTATATCCGCTCTCCCCCCAGACCCTGCATTCACTATATCCGCTCTCCCCGGACCCTGCATTCACTATATCTGGTCTCCCATCGTACACAGAAATGCAAGTAAATATAAACTGCTAAATCCCTTTTCTCATCAGCAGTCTTGTGACTTCTATCAGGGTTCAGCTGAGCACTGGTTAAAGCTTGTAGGAGGAGTTTTCATTCTCCTCCCACTGCCCTATGAGATTGATCAGCTGTGTGTTTTTTTTTTTATTTTTTGTGCTATAAACAAAAAAAGACCAACAATTTTGAGAACAAAAAAAAATATTTTTGACTCTTTGCTATTAAACATGACCACAAAAAAAAAAATTTTTGTCATAAATTAAGGGCAAAATGTCTTTGCTAAAAAATAAATCCCAATACGTGTAAATTAAGTGGTTTACATGAAAATTATAGCATTTACAAATGGCAGTATATAATGGAATTTTTTTTTTTACTAGTAATGGCGGTGATCAATGACTTATAGCGGGACTACAGTGGACATTCTGACACTGAGGGGAACTGACTAACTGTCACTGACATCCCCAGTGACACCAATACAGTGATCAGTGCTAATAAAAAGCACTGACACTGTACTAATGGCACTGGGCAGGAGGGGGTTAAAATGTGGGACGATCAAAGGGTTAACTGTGTGCTGGGTCTGTGCTTTCAACTGTAAGTACACTGCTTTGTATGGCTCTGCTATGCAGAGCCATACAAAGCAGTGTGCAGGAGCTGACAGGGGAGAGAACTGTATTGTTTACATACAGTTATCTCCCTCGTCAGTAATACTCAGCGATCACCGAGTGCCGGCGAGTAATCATCAGCCAGGACCCAGTGATTGACAGCCAAGTCCGCGAATGGTGGCACAGGTAGGGAGCTCGCGCATACCCCCTACCCAGAACTGCAAAATCACATGTGTGATGTCGGGGGAGAAGCTCTCCCTCACAGATGCCGAGGTGGCCATATTGCGACACCATTTGGCGTTATTGGCGGCCTCTTCATCTCTCTGCTGGCGGCACAGGTGGATCGGATTACTTTCTGATGAGATAATTACCCCACATTGAGTCCTATATACAGTCAGGTCCATAAATATTGGGACATGGACACAATTCTAACATTTTTGGCTCTATACACCACCACAATGGATTTGAAATGAATTGAACAAGATGTGCTTTAACTGCAGACTGTCAGCTTTAATTTGAAGGTATTTACATCCAAATCAAGTGAACGGTGTAGGAATTACAACAGTTTGCATATGTGCCTCCCACTTGTTAAGGGACCAAAAGTAATGGGACAATTGGCTTCTCAGCTGTTCCATGGCCAGGTGTGTGTTATTCCCTCATTATCCCAATTACAATGAGCAGATAAAAGGTCCAGAGTTCATTTCAAGTGTGCTATTTGCATTTGGAATCTGTTGCTGTCAACTCCCAAGATGAGATCCAAAGAGCTGTCACTATCAGTGAAGCAAGCCATCATTAGGCTGAAAAAACAAAACAAACCCATCAGAGAGATAGCAAAAACATTAGGCGTGGCCAAAACAACTGTTTGGAACATTCTTAAAAAGAAGGAATGCACCGGTGAGCTCAGCAACACCAAAAGACCCGGAAGACCACGGAAAACAACTGTGGTGGATGACCGAAGAATTCTTTCCCTGGTGAAGAAAACACCCTTCACAACAGTTGGCCAGATCAAGAACACTCTCCAGGAGGTAGGTGTATGTGTGCCAAAGTCAACAATCAAGAGAAGACTTCACCAGAGTGAATACAGAGGGTTCACCACAAGATGGAAACCATTGGTGAGCCTCAAAAACAGGAAGGCCAGATTAGAGTTTGCCAAACGACATCTAAAAAAGCCTTCACAGTTCTGGAACATCCTATAGACAGATGAGACCAAGATCAACTTGTACCAAAGTGATGGGAAGAGAAGAGTATGGAGAAGGAAAGGAACTGCTCATGATCCTAAGCATACCACCTCATCAGTGAAGCATGGTGGTGGTAGTGTCATGGCGTGGGCATGTATGGCTGCCAATGGAACTGCTTCTCTTGTATTTATTGATGATGTGACTGCTGACAAAAGCAGCCGGATGAATTCTGAAGTGTTTCGGGAATATTATCTGCTCATATTCAGCCAAATGCTTCACAACTCATTGGACGCTTCACAGTGCAGATGGACAATGACCCAAAGCATACTGCAAAAGCAACCAAAGAGTTTTTTAAGGGAAAGAAGTGGAATGTTATGCAATGGCCAAGTCAATCACCTGACCTGAATCCGATTGAGCATGCATTTCACTTGCTGAAGACAAAACTGAAGGGAAAATGCCCCAAGAACAAGCAGGGACTGAAGACAGTTGCAGTAGAGGCCTGGCAGAGCATCACCAGGGATGAAACCCAGCGTCTGCTGATGTCTATGCGTTCCACACTTCAGGCTGTCATTGACTGCAAAGGATTTGTAACCAAGCATTAAAAAGTGAAAGTTTGATTTATGATTATTATTCTGTCCCATTACTTTTGGTCCCTTAACAAGTGGGAGGCACATATGCAAACTGTTGTCATTCCTACACCGTTCACCTGATGTGGATATAAATACCCTCAAATTAAAGCTGACAGTCTGCAGTTGAAGCACATCTTGTTCTTTTCATTTCAAATCCATTGTGGTGGTGTATAGAGCCAAAAATGTTAGAATTGTGTCCATGTCCCAATATTTATGGACCTGACTGTATGTTGGATGCATTATTGCAGTTGGTTGTTGGCTTTCTAGCTTGAAGGTAATCCCTTATGCTATCTTGGATGGTTTGGTGAGCATTATATTTGTCTTTTGGCGAAGAGAAGCATTTATCAATATGGGAAGCCATGTCAGTGTTTTTATAGCTTTATTTGATTGTTATTACAGATAAAATAGCTGGATACAGTTATCTGTCCTCTGGGATCTGGAACATTTCAATATTCCTACAGTTCAGTAAGCATTGCGGTGAGTTGCCATAGTGAGGGTATTTTTGTTCTGTTACAGGCAGCTATGATAGTGTTTCTATAATTTTTTATTTCTATTATAGATCAAACAATTGCACAAAATCTTTGGTCCTGCGGGACTTGTGATACCTTTACCATAGAATGAGGCATACTCCAGTTTACTATGCTTATTGGCTATGCCCTCAATACGGTTAGCTTTTTTCTATGTACCAACCAGAATACCAACTCTTAGGCCTGTTCAATAAGCCTTGTACCTAATTTATATTATATCTTCCACGATGATTATAGAGGGACATAGAGGGTGATTTGGTGCTCTCCTGTTGCCGTCAGCATTATGAGATGGCTATCTGACCACCTTTGTTCCTCCGGTGGTTCACGCCATTAAAACTT